ATCTGTTCAGCGAGTTAGCAGTTTTTTTTAGTATATTTTAGGTGATTCTTATGCAAGTTTAAGCTATTTATTTAGAATTCCAGCAAATACCATTTGTGGAATCGTACCTGAAGTTTGTCAAGCACTGTCAGATGTATTGCAAGAAAAAGGATTTTTTAAGGTACAAAAAATACTTCTACAGTTTACAACTTATATTATGATTTATTATTTAAATACTTAAATTAGCTCAAAATAAACATTTTAAATAAAATAAATACATTCTTTTTGTTAAAAAAAAATTATTAGAAAAATTAAAACAAAAGTTTAACCTTTACTTTATAGTATATGGGTTGTTTTAAATATCAGTATTAAAACTATTCGGCATGTTTGGAATGTCTGTTACAGCTTGGTTTACAATAAAGTTATAATCTGGGTTGTTATTATACGTAGATATTGTATTGTAACTGCTAATTGAGTTCACGCTTGAGAATGAAATCGAAGGAACAGGAATTAAACTTGTGGTTGACATATTTGAGTCATCTTCCTCTGCGATGTCCAACAGAATTCTTTGGATTTGACGTTTAGCTTTTTTTTTTAAATGCTCAGCTTGAAGTCCTCTTAACTCGGACGTTACAAATTTTCCAAACACGTCAAGATCGTCTTCGTTTTCGGACAAAACCGAATAAGCTTTTCCCAATAAATTTTCAGAAGACAATTTCTTCTTTTTATTGCTTTTAGTACCAAAAGCAATCGATTCAGTTGGCTCATTACTAGTTGATGTATCGTTTAATGTCATATTATATTCATCTTCATTTTCTTCTCGATTTTGTTGACTATACTGAGCCTGAAAAAAAATAATAATGCATATTATTATGTACCTACTACCAATATAATTATTTAACACTACTTTTTGTACAATTTACATATTTAAAATAAAAAAAAACCCCGGGGAAGTAGCTTTTCTGTATGCATAGTAGGTGTCAACCTACAATCATGATAAGTATTAAGTAAGCATATATCATTACATCATTGTTTAATAATTGTTAATCGCTGATAATTGAATATAAAGTGTATCATAAATTTTATTAATTGAAATTAAAAAAATTGAAATCCTAAGTCGCATTTTTTTTTTATAAGTGTAGAAAGTTTAAATTTTTACAAAATATGATAAATTTACGAACATTTAAAGTTATTTTGTAGTCAAAAATTTATAAAATTTTAAGTATTTTAAAAAATTAAATATTATATAATATATATTATTATAAATATTATATATTTAATATTTAAACCTAAGGTTTGTAAAAATTAGTACAAGATCCTCAATAATATATAATAATAATATTATAATTATTAAATTTTTTATAGGTTTCAAATTCTATTGAAGATTGGATTACAATTAGTAATGGATTAATGCAAAAATGGAACTTTCCTCGGTGTGTTGGAGCTGTTGACGGAAAACACGTAATGATACAATCACCGCCCAACTCTGGAAGTGAATTTTATAACTATAAAGGTTTTCATAGTATTGTATTAATGGCAGTTGTRGATTTCGAATACAAGTTTATATTAGTAGATATCGGTTGCAACGTTCAGAAATTGCGCCTTATTTGGAAGAACAATTACTTAATATGCCAACTCAAAAATTACCTGGAGGAAGTATACCTGTTCCATACGTAATACTTGGGGATTCTGCTTTCGGCTTACAGCCTCATTTATTGAAACCTTTTCCTACTGCTACTGAAATGAACAATATGCTTCATAGAGTTTTCAATTATAGATTGTCTAGAGCCAGAAGAGCTGTGGAAAATGCGTTTGGAATCGCAGTTAGTGTTTTTCGAGTTTTACGAAAACCTATAATGCTTAAACCAAATAACGCTGATCGTGTAATTTTTGCTATCACTTGCCTTCATAATTATTTACTTACTAAGAAAAACATTAGATCATTGTACACACCCTTTGGAAGCTTAGATCATGAAACTTCCGATGGTCAAATAYTACCAGGTACATGGAGAGAAGAAGGGATGCCTACTAGTAGTTTATTGAGTTTAAATAGAAATGGACCAAAAAATTGTAGTGCAACTGCAAAAGATGTTAGAAAAGAATTTATGAACTATTTTGTATCAGTTGATGGAGAACTACCATGGCAATACAACCGCTGTCTACTAAACCTGGAAACGATACCTTCAAGTTTGGCTTAGTGATAATAGTATTGCATCATGTATAAATAAATAATGTACTTATTATTATTATCATTATTAACAATAAATATACAACAAACACTAAACAGTCTTGTAATTTTATAAAATTTGTTGGTGAATTTTATAAGGTTTGGTATATTTTTTAAATATTAATATATAAAGCAGSGAATTAAACCTTGATGAATTTTTCAGAATTTTATATTTAAAACTGTTTGATAGAAAATCGTTCGTGAATTTTTTGTAAGTATTAAATTCTCAATTCTCAGGTATGAATACCAAAATATGTATGAATTTTCAACTACAAAATAACTTCAAATKTTTGCGATTTTAACATATTTCGTAAAAATTTGATCACTCCGTTCAGAATCTAAAAAATTGTACCTGCCTGAAATTATAATAGCTCAAATAGTAATATTGTAATAATAATATAGCTGTACAATAATGAATATATTATAGTAGGTATCTACTATATAATAWAGCAACGGTACTTACTTAATTGCCTACAGTTTTTCTACCAACGTTGCCTTCAGTCGATAAAAATTTCAATGATTCGAAATATATTCATTTACTTTTGTACATTTCGTCTGCTCCTTGGCCTGTTCTAGTTATTTTTTCTTTCCTAKTTTCGCCAGCATGTTGGTTTCTTAAACCGTGTAGTTTTCTTTGTATTTCACCTTCACTAGTGTTGAATGACACAGCTAATTGGCGAACAGCTTCTCCCCGAGCTAGTTTATCTTTATATTTAATATCTTTAGGATTCCATAAACAAGGATTGTTTTCATAATCAGAAATTATTTTGTGTGTTTCGTCAATTGTCCATTCTTTTTTTGAGGAAGACATAATATTAAGTTTTTAATATTTCGTTAAAAACTATACTTAAATAAATAAAATAAATAAATTTATTTAAAAAGT